CTGCGGGCGGGCCGGCGAACTCACCTGGGACCACGCAGGTTGCAATGTGAAAGACGGGGTGTGGGCCGAGGAATTTTTCGTCGGTTTAGTTCCAAACCTGCCGTCTTAGGTCACCCTGGCCACCAGCCGAAGTATTATCTCACGTGGAGAAAAATAGATCGGGGTGTGGATGAGGGGACTCTCACTCATTGAGCTCATCGAGTCTCGACCGTTACATTGCGATGGTCACGATCCCAGTGAGAGAACGTGACACACCCACGAGCGCTGTCTGAGCGCGATCAAAGCCCAAACACTCAAAACAGCGCTCGCGCCCATCAGCTGAATCTATCAGAATACCACACTCAGAAAAACACGGGCAGATCGTCTTTAGAAAGACGCGTCTTTAAAAAGACGTGCCGCGTGCAGCTCTTTAGTGAAAGGAAAAACTCCGCGGATGTTGAAGCGACCAGGGAGAACACACAGACTGGCAGACCACTGCTCAGCTCGCAGGCAATGTGAAACTCGCTGGATACCGCCGTCACACCAACACCGGAGAGTTCGCTCGTCTCGAAGAGATGTAGTCACTGAGAAAACTCAGGATTTGGCTTGTGGAGTGAAGAGATGCTCTTAGCTCCGAAGCGAAAACATGATCTGCTGTTGCAGGTGTCTCTCCTTAAATACCCACGCGGTGGGGCGGAGATACATTATGCAAATTCCGCAGACCCATGGCATTTCATTGCCATAGGCTCGTTTTTTAATACTCGAAGATGATAGGCTTTCTGGCGAAACCCCCATTCTCCGTCATCCGACGTAACTCGGAGTGACTACGAAAGGGAACTATTTGTTCACAGACTTAATCAAAGCAGTCTGGTGTTTGTGTGTGTGTGGTACCATAAGAGAGAAAGAAGGGATGCGTAGTGATAGTTTTCACTTTTAAATAGTGTTACTATAGCTCGATCAGTAGTGTGCTGCTAGAAACAGCAACGCCATTAAATTCTGTATGAATTTTTGTGTAACACTTTAGTATACTGTTCTGTCATTAATGTATAACTACACAGGAAAAAATGAGCAACACAATGTTAACATTCTATAATAACAAGAAATTCTGATTAACTAATTAGTAAGTAATAGCACTCGGTTGAACTACAATTTACAGGTTCATAATTAATGTTAATAATGCATGATGTATACTTAATTCTAAAGTGAAGATCATGGAAACTATGACTGAAGTATCAAACCCTTCAGAAGGAATTACTAATTATTTGTATTCTAAAGTGAAGAGCATGAAAACTCTCTAGTAATGACTGAAGTCATTGTAAGCTTTTGAGATTTTTGTAAGGTTAAAAATAGTATACTGAGCTAGTGAATAGTTACTAGAATTATAATATTGTGTTTGTCATTTGTTAGTTATTCATTAATGACGGAAAATCCTAAAGTGTTACCTTGTATCAACTGTTTTACATTTTAATACTTTAAAATGCAATTTATTCCTGTGATGCAAAGCTGTATTTTCAGCAGCATTACTCCAGTCTTCAGTGTCACACGATCCTTCAGAAATCAGAGAAATCATTCTAATATGCTGATTTGGTGCTCAAGAAACATCACATTGACATAATACAAAATCAGTTGTGCTGCATAGTGGAATTTGCAATGGTGTTTGTTTTTTCATTATTCTTTGATGATTTAAAACTTTAAAAGAATAGCATATGTAGGCCTATATGAAATAGATTTTTAGTTTACTTTGTTTTCTTTACTGCACTTTTGATTTAACGTGTCCTTGCAGAATAAAAGGTTTTTGTTTTTTTACTTACTGACCCCAAGCTTTTAAATGGTATTATATGTACACAAATACTAAAAGTTTTCATTTAGGAATGGGGTTAATTATATTGCTAAGTAATTAATGTATGAGCTAATGTTAATGTTGGAGATATGGTGCTTGTTTATTTCCCTCTCTAGCACTGCAATAAAGATTGAGTGATATGAGCACACTACTCTCTCTACTTCCATCTCACAGGTGCCGCTTAATCATCTGCATCAGCACAGGAGGTGTGTGCGTGTGTGTGTGTGTGTGTGTGTGTGTGTGTGGGGGTGGCAAGAGATTATGAGAGACTGATGATTCTATATTTAATCTGTGAAAGAATATAGTAGATTTCAGCACAGATATAGCTGCTGACTATAGAATACAGGGATGTGTTATGAAATGCAAGGAAGAAGTGTGTAAGTGGTTCAGGTACGTTGTGATTGTGTGTACAATCATGTCTGTGTAATTTCCCCATATGACATGAAAACACAACACGTGTGTGTGCGTGTGTGTGTGTGTGTGTGTGTGTGTGTGTGTGTGTGTGTGTGTGTGTGTGTGTGTGTGTGTGTGTGTGTGTGTGTGTGTGTGTGTGTGTGTGTGTGTGGACCCAAACGTTGTCCTGACCAGACAGTAAATGGAGAACGGTATAGATTACAGTGTTGTGACCATTCGAAACAACGGCAGAAAGAAAATATTGACTGGTTGAAACTACAACAGATCATCTATCAATTGCAAGCACACACATACAACCGCACATACAAGTGTTTTTGCTACGATCAGATCAGTACCATTTAGACTCTCTCCCTGCAAGAAAGAGAATTGTGTGTGTGTGTGCGTGCGTGCGTGCGCGCGCGTGTGTGTGTGTGTGTGTGTGTGTGTGTGTGTGTGTGTGTGTGTGTGTGTGTGTGTGTGTGTGTGTGTGTGTGTGTGTGTGTGTGTGTGTGTGTGTGTGTGTGTGTGTGTGTGTGTGTGTGTGTGTGTGTGTGCAATCAATACTCATAAAGCCTGGTACTGAACTTGGCTGAGCTGCTGTGTGGTGTCTTTATGTGTGTTCTGAGGGAGAGAGAGATTGCAGCAGCTGATGAATGATAGTAGAGGCTTTATTCATCTGTTCATTCATTTATTCATTCTGCGCTATGATTCCGGCCTCAAGTGCTTGATCAGACCTCAAAGGAACAGAGAGAAGAATACGCAGATTACCTCACACTGAGAGACACATACATCAGCAGCACGTGTTTTCAATAACACAACACTGCCATGCAGATTCCAGCATGTGAAAAATAAGTGATTTTGTGTGCATTTGCATATTTGTAAGTGGGTCAGGTTTTGACTACATTGTGTAGATCAAATCGCTTAATAAACCCTTAATAAACCCACTATATAATGTTGTGATGAAAATTAAAACATCCGGAAAGGTGAGTTAGGTTTAAGGTTAAAGGATAGAAAACATGAAAAAAAAGAAGTCAATAGAAAGTTCCCATCATGATGATGAGAATAACAAATGGATATATGTCTGTGCGTGAGTGTGTGCATTTCCCTCACATTAGGTGTTACATAATATATGAAACAGTTAGCTAACCTCAAGACAACCCCACATTAAGGATTCATTAAATGAAGGCAAGTCTGCGTCCCAGTATGTGTCAGAGGTTTTGTGATCGATTGATGTGAAGTGATTGACTGCTGGTTAAAGCCGTGCTGGACTGATGGAAGTTTATTACATCACCTGAGGTGAAATCAGTATTCTTTTACAGGCTGAAGTTTCATTAAATGAAAAACACCTAAAGTCATCTCTTGAGACGCTAACACATTTGAAAAAAATACTGAGTAAAAAAAGCACAAGATTGGAAAAATACGTATTTACTGATTACTTATTAAAATACTTATTTAATTAAAAACTATGAAGTTAATATAACAGAAATTGATGTTGACAGCCCAGATGGAGTAACGTGTCTGTTTATGTATCCTTGTGTTGCAATTGACTAGATATGAACTTTCTTCTCAAAACCGCAGAATGTTATTTTCAGTATGTCTGCGTAGAAATTAAATATATAAACTTGAGTGTGTGCTGCACACACACACACTAACATGCCCTCTGTGACACAACCCACACATACACACACATCCTCTCACAGACAGGAGAAGGACATGCCCTTGATGTGAGGCTACCTGCAGTTAAGGTTAATGAGCACAGCAGAGAGTAGTGCTTACTCAATTCTGACACACACACACACACACAAAGGTGCACACACTTTAGGCTACCAATCTCAACATGCCTTCATGACAACCATGATTAGTGTAGGTGGATGCGTGTTTATGTGTTAATGGGAGTATATTCTAGACATTTTTAATATGCTTTATATCAATCAACCATTCATTTTCAGCAGCCATAATTGTAATCTCTCTATTAATAGCAAATCTCTTGGTCTGAGTCTTTAAGGCCTATAATGCAGCCTATTGATTACTGACCATTTACTTTGCATCAAAGAGAGAGACGGAGAGGAATGCATAGGTTACAGTCTAAAATTACCAATATATATTTTTTGTATTTATTTATCTAAAAAGTCTATGATGCTCACCAAGGATGTATTTATACGATCAAACATACAGTAAAACAATAATATTGTCAAATATTATTACAATTTAAAAATAACTGTTTTATATGGTAATGTATTTTAAAATGTAATTTTTTGCTTTGTGATGCAAAGCTGTATTTTCAGCATCATTACTCCAGCCTCCACATGATCCTTCAGAAATCATTCTAATATGCTGATTTAGTGCTCAATAAACATTTCTTATTATTATCAATGTTGAAAACAGTTGCACTGCTTGATATTTTTGTGAAAACTGTGATACATCTTTTTTAGGATTCTTTGATGAATAGAAAGTCCAAAAGAACAGCAATTATTTGAAATAGATTTTTTAGTAACAATGTAAAAGTCTTTACGGTCACTTTTGATTTGATAAATGTAATGCATCTTTGCTGATTGAAAGAATTTTGATAGATTACATCATGTTAATTTATACATCTTGTTAAAATGTTCACATTGTGTTAGTACAAATTACCATTCACCTATATTGACCCAATGCATTTACTAATCTAAACTATTTGAACCATAATATATAAAGTGTTATCAGCATATTTGAATTGCACACTCCCGAGTCGCCACACATGCACACAGTCCTTCTGTGAGGTGTGTGTGTGCTGCACTACAGCTCTTACCTGCCGATCATAGTAGAGTGCTGCTGTACCGCAGCCTCCAGCAATCTCTCCAGTATAGTCCACTCGCCCATGATGCCGTGCTTTTTGCTCTCACTCCACCTCTGACCTTCAGGTATTGTCACGACCTCTGCCCTCGGCAACTCTTCCAGTGTCCCCCTGTTGACCTTTGAACGGATATCTCGGGCTCCTCTTGAAAGCCGCAGCTGTGTGCGTCCGTCCGTGCGACCGTCCGTGTGTGTGTGTGTGTGTGTCAGGGTAGCGCTCTAGTGCGGAGATGAGCTAGTGTAGCATCTGCAGCAGAAAATCTGATGATGCTGAGACACAGAGACTTCAACCATACTGCATCTCTCAGTCTCACACACACACACTGTCCACATGCACTGCTTTATCTCTCTTTTCAGGGTGTAGGACCCTCTACCTGCTCGTGCATCTTACCCTGTGCTACAAATACACACTCTCTACACCTGTCTGACCTTTTCTACCCTTTCCTCCACATGCACACTCACACACACTCACTCATTTGACGGTCACTGCAGACTCTCTTTTCCCATTCGTTGAGCTGAACGCTAAAGGAACACACATGCAGGAGCACACTGATGAAGATGCAGCTCTCTGAATCTCATAGCAACGCCTGAGCGCACCTTCACACACACACACACACACACACACTATCGCCTGTGCTCCAGTGTGTGGCGGCGGCAGCAGCAGCAGCAGACGAGGATCGTCAAGGTTATGTCCGGTTGAGTGATGAGCTCGTGGTCATGTCTGCGGCTCAATCTTCCTCAAACCTCAGCCTCTCTTCTCTCTCTCTCTCTCTCTCTCTCTCTCTCTCTCTCTCTCTCTCTCTCTCTCTCTCTCTCTCTCTCTCTCCACACCTTCCCCGTTCCTTTCGTCTTTGTGCTGCACTGCTGTTGCTACTGATGATACCTTTCCCTCTGCTCCTCCTCCTCTCTCTCTCTTTCCCTCTGTCACATGCCATAAGCATGCCACCCACCCTCCCTCCATCCCGGACCTGCTCTCCTTTCCCCTCCTTCCCTCTTCATTCTCTTGTTCTCCTCTGCTCTGCTGACTGTTTCACTTGTGCTGCTGTGTGCTGCAGGAGGGAAACAGGTTTTAACCTTCTCTTATTCTGTCCCACAGCATGTACTCATTAATAATAACGACACTTCTGCACTTTCAGGAACCTTTTTGATTATTTTGGCTTGTATTTGCTGTAGTGTCAGACTATTAATGGGGAATTGTGATTCTGCGGTGCCTAACCCCATCTTTCGCATTCTATTATTTTGGTCAGCTCTTCTGTTCTTCATCCTTTTTCTTACCGTCATCTATCCAAGCCCGAATGGGTATCAGGCTTTAGAATGTTTGCTGAAAAAAACATTTTGAAGCACATTTTAGATTAACCAACGACATGTAATTAAAGTAAGGGATAATGTATTGCAAAATTTGAGTTGCAAATGTTTTATAATTTTAGCTGTATGTTATGTTAAAGGTTCAGCTACAAAAAAATATACAAAACAATTAGATGAGCAACAAGATGATCACTACGGCAACATTACAGTAGTAGTCCTTTGAGGGAATTTTCACTACAATCAATAACTGAGACGCAAGATGACAACAGTTGTGTTTGTGTGAAACAGAACAGAGCACTATGTGATACGAAAAACAAGAACGTAGTGCCTTTTTCAGGTATCCGGAAGAGCGGTTCGTACACCATTGCCATGGACGAAGCAGAATATTTGGAAACATCTGACCGCTGAATGCTGGGATTGACCAGTCAGAATGCAGCATTTCAATTAACATTATTTTAACACCATATAGTATTATACAATATATTATTTGACATCACTGAATCAACACATACAAAAATAGCTCCTTACGGACAGTTCAACCAAAAATGAAAATTCTGTCATTATTTACTCACCCTCATGACTTTCTTTCCTCATTTTGAAGAATGTTGGTAACTAAACAGTTTTCATGACTTCCATTTAATGAACAAAATATGCTGAGACATTTCTCAAATTATCTTCTTTTATGTTCCACAGAAGACAGAAAGACATACAGGTTTGGAACGACATGAGGGTGAGTAAATGAAGGTTTGAGTTAAACATTGCAGGCCATCACTTTTTACAATATAAAGTGATAGCTTTTTTATTTTATATTATCTAGAGGGAAAACGGCATGTTCTAAATAAAGGTATTATCCAATTTCTGGAGCGTGCACCCACATATTTAAAATATTGGCTCCATCACAACCTTCTCATGCACTTATATTTCATTCAGTTCATTTTCTTATGTCTCCCATCTCTTTCCTCATTCCTTGTACTGTCCATCAGTGCGGCCTCATGACTCTGAATGCTGCATTTATTTGATTAATATTTCGGGTTGATTCCCTCCCCCCTCCCCTCCTCCTGCACGCTCCGTCATTTCACCTCCACCATGTGACTCAGAGACTGGGGTGTGAAGACAGGGAAAAAGGGAAAGAAAACGATTTACAACCAACATTTAAAGGTTTGGTGTCCAATAAATTTTGATAGAGCACCTTAAACTGTAATTTAAATAATTGTGTATTTGAATGGCTCTTTGTATACATTGTGATGATGACTGATGCACTTATACTGTGTGCAGGCATGTGTGTGTCAGTGTCATGGTAACATTGTGTATAATTACATTAGTCTTGTACTGCACAGAGAGAGGAGAGGAGTTGGTTATCCACATAAGCAAGCAGCCATTAACCTTTCCCGCACACTCACTGCCTGAGTGACTCCTAAATGAAATAGTTAATCACAGAACAGCGATGTCATTATCAGGGGGCATTATGGGTAAGGACACACTGACTTTGGCTATGTCAGGTGTTTCTACTCTCATAATGCACACATGCACATGGACACTCAAGATGTTAACTGTGGAGGTGGAGGAGGGACGGTTTTTGCTTCATGGTTAAACTGTCTGGAGTACTGTTTGAGGGAATGCACACTTTTGGAAATTATGCTGAGGTTTTGGGCGAAATTATGCTGAGGTTTTGGGCGAAATTATGCTCAGGTTTTGGGCGATGTGTTGGCTTGAAGGCAAGAGGCACAGGTGTGTCATTTGTGACCTAGAAAAGCTATTTATCTTTTGCTCTCTCTTAGACACACATACAATTAAATTACATAAACATGAGTGAACATGGGGGTATTCAATCTGGACTCAAGCCTGCTCACACTGACGCTTGCTCATACAAACATGATTTCAATTGAATTTTATAATAAAGATCTATCTATCTATCTATCTATCTATCTATCTATCTATCTGTCTGTCTGTCTGTCTATCTGTATTTAGGGTCAGGGTTTTTAAAGGAATTCGTATTTTTATTCTGCAATGATGTCCGTGCGACCGTCCGTCCATCCGTCCGTCCGTGTGTGTGTGTGTGTGTGTCAGGGTAGCGCTCTAGTGCGGAGATGAGCTAGTGTAGCATCTGCAGCAGAAAATCTGATGATGCTGAGACACAGAGACTTCAACTATACTGCATCTCTCAGTCTCACACACACTGTCCACATTCACTGTCCACATTCACTGCTTTATCTCTCTTCTCAGGGTGTAGGACATCAGAGACCCGAGTTCTAGTCCACCAAGCCATCTTGACTGGTCCACTGGCGCTATCCTCAGTTGGGGTCCCACTTGCCCTGTCACCTGTTTGATCCCGAGTTCCCCTGACCCCATTCTCGAGTCTCAAGAGCCCCGGACCTATCTCAAATCCCCACTCAGTACCACCACCTCAAGGCAGTTTTCAGTAAAAAGAAAGCCACCTCTTTACCACCACACCGCCCTTATGACTGTGCCATTGAGCTGCTCCCAGGTACCTGTCCACTCAGAGGCCGCATCGTCTCCTTGTCTTCTACCGAACGTGCAGCTATGGACAATTACATTGAGGAGGCCCTCGCGGCAGGGATCATTCATCGGTCCACTTCCCCCGCGGGTACTGCTTTTTTTCTTTGTGGTTAAAAAGGATAGAGGCCTTGGACCCTGCATCGATTATCGAGGCCTCAACAAAATTACTATCCGGAACCGTTAGAAAGAAATGTTAATTCCATGTAACCCAAGTACAATTTCTGGGATTCAACATTAAGCCCGGCCATATTCAAATGGATCCCCAGAAGGTTCAAGCAGCAGGGCCGTATTAAGACAGTGTTAAGAAGACACTATACCTCAAAAGTATACCTGGCTTTTAATGAACTCAAACTGCTTTACTTTAGCTCCCATTCTCACTCTCCCAGACCTAGACAAACTCTTCATTGTGGAGGTTGACGCTTCCGATGTGGGTGTTGGAGCAGTGCTTTCCCAGAGGGAGGATAACAGACTTCGTCCATGTGCATTCCTTTCACACCGTCTTACACCAACAGAAAGGAATTACCATGTGGGAGACCGTAAGTTACTGGCTGTTAAGCTGGCGCTCGAAGAGTGGAGGCATTGGCTTGAGGGGGCCAAACACCCATTCCAAGCACTCACTGACCACAAAAATCTAGAGTACATTCAGCAGGCCAAGCGACTCAACCCTCGTCAGGCAAGCTGGTCTCTTATCTTCAACTGGTTTGAATTCATCTTATCCTACCGCCCCGGATCCAAAAATCTGAAACCTGATGCTCTATCTCGAGTATACTCAAGCAGCCACCAAGAAGATCCTGTCACACCCAGTGCTTGTTATGTCATGTTTTGGCCTCTAGAGGTCCTCATGGTGCTCTCATGCCCTGTTTACTCAACTGGTAATTAGTGTTAGGTTCACATGTGTCTCAATCAGATGTGTGTGTATTTAAGTCACTCTGTCTCATAGCTTCTTTGCTTGCCTGAGTAAGTGTTCTCTAACTCTGATACATTTTATTTTCTCTTGCCTGTGGATTATTCCCTTCTCTGTTTTATTTTTGTGGACTTTCTCCTCTGGAGTTTTTTTTCTTAAGATCTTTGGAATCTTTTTTAATTTTTGTGGAAAGCCCTGTTGGACTGTTTTTTTTTTGTTTGTCTTTTGTTTTTTTATGATTACTTTTTGCAGATTTTTGCTCCAGCTGTGGATTTTTGTTGCTTGTTCTTGTATTATTAAAACAAATTATGCATCTCAATTTCTTCTGAGTGCATCTTACTGTTGGGTTTACCATTCTCCAGTGGCTCAAGGGTTGAGAGTCTGACTCTCACATCAGAGATCTGTCCCGGCTCTGACAGCAGAGGCCACTCATCTGCTGGGAATTTTCAGGGATGCTCTAAGTACTGGGAATGCTCCAAATGTTAAGGCAAACCAATAACAGAAACCTCTGAAAACAACAGTATCTTTTATTAACACTCAGTAATGGTAGATACATACACTTATTTAAAATGATTAAATAGGCCAATTATTTTCTCTTTCAATATTTAGATCACATGAAGAATAATGAAGACCACTGTTCGACAAAACAAATATTAGCATCCTGGTTAATGAGGTAATGTGTTTCAAATATAAATCATATTTCTGTAAGAATCTGTAAGACATTCTTGGAAATGGAATAATAGGGTTTATTTTTCCCCAGGAGCAAATGTTACAACACAGGCATTTCTCAAGGTTGACAGGCACATGTTCGGACTGCAGTTGTTCTCCTATAGCCATTGTACTAATCAAATGACATAGAGATTTTAGGGTCACAGAAACACAATCTAAAGGGAGGATTGGGTCTTATGCTGAGTTAGCATATACATTTACTTTAGTGGTAACTGCAAATGAGATTCACCTATAGCCTGCTACAGAGGTTATGTGAAGTTAAATATAGAGCTGGTTTACTCTGC